ACCTCTTTGTAAACTACATGTAATCTACAAATGAGTTCTATCCTTCTGTAGTTTCATTGGTACAAATAAGTTACACGGAGGTTGCAAGGAAGTTACATTGAGGTTACAGGAGAGTTACAGAGGGGTATAACCCCGATATAACCCCCCTGTACCTCCTGAATAAACTCTGTACGCAAATATTTTTCAGTATTGCAAGGTGATAAATTCTATAATCATTAATTATGAGCACATATTTAAATATATTTATGTTTTGCATTTTAATATATCATGAAATCACTATTTTAATGATATAAAACAAATATCATGATTATAAAGTTAAAAATCTATATGATTATATTCTGTGTAAAGCCGCATAGATGATTTTAATGAGCAAAGCAGACATCATAGACTTCTTCTGACAAATAGGTTTCGGGTGTTGACTTTCTGATCGTGCACGAACACGGATCTCGTGATTTTGACCTATGGGTCAATTAACGGACGAGGGACGCGACCCATTTAATGACTCGACCGGACAGTAATGGGCCGGACCCGTAGCACATTGGGCCGCATCCATATTTTTATTTGTGCTATTAATTTATCACCGGCCTAGTTTTTTTCGTGGTAAAAATATTTTCTATGGGTCTACCTAAAGATATATAGAGACTAGATATTGCTCGAGCGACCGGCCAAACGAAATTGGAAGCCAGATAACGACCAAGGGGTCGAACAACCCACAAGATGGTCGAAAAAAAGGTAGGATGCAGATCGAACGGCCGACCAAGGACCCTCTGACTCGGACGATGGTCCCACCAGAGATTAATCGTCATAGTGAACATAAAGATAAAGGATGATCCTTCAGATATTCAACGACCTTGTTACATGAAGCCGATCTAATTGGTGTTGGTTGATTAAAAAAGGTCAGAATCATAATTGTCGTTTCATACTATTCATAACCCAATGTAAATAGAGAAGCATTAAATGTAACAGAGATTGTTGAACAAAATATAATGATATCTAACTTCTCACATCTCCGTAGAAGTTTATTTCTCAATCCCACACTCTATTTACTGACATATTTGTGTTTAACACATGCACACCACACAATTCTTAGGGACTTTTTTTATCTAACATCAAAACTTACATATTTACATCTATACCAAGCTTTAACATTACATAAAAAATATCACCAATATATTTAGATTAAAGATGGACATATAATTAAAGTTGTAAACGAGCCGAGCCCGAGCGAACTAAGGCTTGTTTCGTGTTCGGCTTGTTCAAATTTGATCGAGTTTGAAATCGGCTCATGTTTGAAATTGACTAGGGAACAATGTGTTTGTGTTCGACTCAATTTAAATATTATTATTCGTGTTCCGCTCACGTTCTCTCACAATCGACTCATTAAAATTAGCTTTAAAAAAATAGAAGTAGAGTGTTCGATTCGAATATGGACCAAATCTATGGAAAAAAAGACACATAACAAGTCGTTAAGATATATATATATATTATAAAAATAATTAGTTGAATTTTTTGTTATTTTGAGCTAAAATGGGTCGAACACAAGACAAAGATATGTAATGGTATTTTACATTAGATTAGTCTTTTTATTTTGTGGCCTAACTTGGCCATAATTAAGCATTAATTCAGTACTTAATAAAGAATAGTACCACCCACTGCCTATAAGAAATAGCATTTATGCTTTTGTCACTGAATAATAGCTATATTTCCCACAAAATAAATGGGAATATTATTTTTATTGAAATGATTTATAATTTAAGGACACATTAATTTATTGTAAAACTAAATTATTTTATTTTGTTTTGCTTATAATTTTATAAATAATACATAAATAATTTTTTGCACACCTTTTATTATTATCAATAAATTTGCAGTCCAAAATTGAAATAAACTAAATGTTAATATTAATATAAAATTTATGTAAATTCAAAATTTTATCTTTTAAGTTATTAAAATTAAATAAAAATTCAATATTTAATACAATTAAACAATTATTATTTTTTTTCTATATTTATAATTTTTATTATAATACTAAATGAGTTAATATATTAATTATTTATTAATTTTTATTATAAATCTCAATGATTTGATTGCGACAAATGTATCTCTCTCTCTCCCTCTCGTTCTGTGGACTATTGAGCCCTACACTCGGGGGAATCGAACCCCAGACCAGAGGGGACTTACATTTGACAAGTAGATGTCTGACCAACTGATCTGAGCACCACACCCTCCACTCCGCTGGCTCGTTTCGTTCCGCTCCAACACCTGTTCTTTATCCAATATATGAGCCATACCTACAAATAGTAAAATTCAATAGATTTTTTTTTTTCAAATAATTTAGGTAACCCCTTGAAATATTTCAGCACCCAATGCCTAAAATAATTAAATATTTGATATTTTTCCTCACCATAAAAATATATTATAGCTAGCTTTATCATAATTTATATAAATTGAAATTTAGAATGTGAACATTTATAAAATGAAACGCACAAATATCGTCATCTCACCTAAATTTCAATTGAATTTCTTCGCAATTTAGCATCATTCAAAAATGAAATTACGTTCATTCCATGCAAGTGTTAGGTCGAGACAACATGGGTTGCGTGTGGCACATTGCAATTATTAAATTCCTTGACAATGATCCTTGGTTTAATTTGCAACCAAAAAAAAAAAAAAAAACAATTATTTATATGAATTTAATAATTTTTTTTATTGATCGATATATGTGATATTGGCTATAAGAAATAGAAAAAAATATTACATCTGGACTCCTAATGCATTATGAGTTAAATAGTGGGGCGCCATGTGTCAAGTGGGCTCCATCATTTTTAACATTAGCCAATATGAGCGTATTATGGTGATGCCCCACTTGACACGTGACGCCACATCATTGGACTCTGAACGCAAACTACGTTAAGAGTTCTGATGTAATATCTCATCAGAAGAAATACTTTGATTTATCTGGTTATGCGGAGCTTTGAAATCAAAATCATGATGAGGAATGGATGGACGAGATTATTCCAATGAGCTCTCATGTATTTTTGGCTTCATTATCATTAGTTAATGGGAAAGAGAGAAAAAAAATAGTAAAGTACAAGAATGATGTAAGGAGTTAGTAGTCTGATTAGGAGAATCAAGTTCAAAACATATCTTAATCACTAATAATTAAATTTTAATCCGTTTAACGATGAGATTCAAAATATATAAATACATTAATAATAAATGAGTATAACGTCATATAGTTATTTAATTATTTACATGAGATCATTTTAGTCATAGAGTTTATAAAAGCATCAAATTAGTCATTAGATTTTCTCTATTGAAATAGTGCGGGACCAAATTGACACGTATATATGACTAAAATGAACTTTGATAAAAAATTATGGCTCTATTTAACACTTTTTTTTATATAGAAATAGTGTATTGACTATAAAATAAAGTTGAAATAGTCATATTATATACGAGTCTCTAGCCACTCTTAATGTACCTAACAATTCGGACCTTTATAAACAAGATACAAAAATGATCTCATATAAATAATTGAAGGAATATTTTGATGCATTAATTGGACATGATCATAATTAGTTATAAAAAATATGAAAATAAATTAATAAATAATAGTAATGAATGATTGAGGGTGTAGTTTATCAACTAGAAGTTATGGGGTTGAATCTCGTACATTGTTCTTTAGGAAGCGTGAAGTTGTAGGTGTTAGGCGGCGCCGTAAGTAATGATTGATACATGTTCTTATTTTTAATGATGGTCTTCTCGACGGTTCATCTCAGGTCAGCTTAACCACTTCGCAGGTAGACCCAACTTGTTCATTTCGGCATGTGAGCTCAACTCGACCACTTCAAAAGGTGGGCTCAACTTGACCGCTTTGACGGGCGAGATCAGCTCGAATATAACTTGATCTTTGAATATGGGCCTTCGAAGCCCCTAAGACTTGTCGATCTCTATGATGCATCATTGAAAAAATCTTATTAGGATATGTGGTAGTATTTGGCTATAACAATATATATATATATATATACAAAAATAAAAAAAAATATTTTATTAGATATTAAGATTTATAGTCTGATTATGTTGCTAAAATATTATACGTCAAAATTTCATAATTTAGATATTAAATTTATAGTAATATATAAATTAAATTAAATGCATAAATATTCATAAATTATATTTAAAAATAAAACAAATTAAATTAAATTAAAGCTATTAAAAAACATAGCCATCAACAGTGATATGATAAATCAACGCCGACACAGTCTATTAATAACGACTCAATATTTAAACATTCTTAAATCAATTAATTCTCACCGTCAATTAAAAAAACGTGGGGGTATTTACATATATACCACCCAAATTCTATGTATTTACAAATTTATAATCTTAAATTTATATCCCAAAATTTCACCTTCTTAAATTTTTAATTCCCATCAAAAGTTTGTAAAAACTGAACTCGCTCGTGTTCGACTCGTTAATATTTCGAGCTCAAAAAGTGTGTTTGTGTTAGACTCGTTTGCTTATCGAGCCGAACACGAGCCATTCATGAACAACGAGTCGTTTTGACACCCTAATCACGTAGTTATAAGATTTTAAGGATTAGGACAAGATTTAAAACATTATTTGAATCTAATTTAATAATTTTTATTCTATTTTCTTCATTAATATTTTTAATTGATTATAAATTTTTGTAGCCTTGTAGTCAATTAAATTTTAAAAAAACACTACTCATCAAAGATATATATATAATTAATTGGTAGTATTTCAAGCTAAAACGAGCATAACACGAACGAATAGATATATTCGTGTTGTTCGTGTTCGAACAAATATTTGTTCGTGTTGTTCGTGTTCGACTTGTTAACTTGATAAACAAGCCGAACACTAGTTTCTTAACGAGCGGAATATGCGTTGATTATTCCTAAAATTAAGTGGTATTTATGTAAATATTTCATATAAAATAAAATATATATATAAAAAAAAAACGAAGATCACGCACCTCTTCTAGTCCTCCCATTAGTTTATTCCCGTCACCCCTGCACCACGCAGCGCAGTCGCTTTTCTCTCACTAGAAAGACCTCGATTAACCAACAATGGTGGCCAAGGAGGTTGCTACGGCTCCAATTGAGCCTGCCGCCGGAGATGGCGGCGAATCACCGGAGGCGAACCCTCTTGCTATTGTCCCCAGCCAAGATCCGCCGATGCCGCGGCGGATGTCGGCGGAGAGCACGAGGAGAGAGGAGGTGGAATCGAAGATATCGGCGTGGGAAGATGAGGAGATCGCCAGAATCACGAACAGGTTCCGGAGGCAGAAGGCCATCATCGATGGCTGGGAAGTAGAGCAGGTGGATAGGGCGAATGCTTGGCTGAAGAGGGTTGAGGTAAGTAATTAGTTCTTGATTCACTTTACCATCAGCTGATTAGAGGTTGATTTTTTATTCTTTATCTTATAGTGATTGTTCGTTCGTTAAATCTTGATTGAAATTATTCTTTCCTTGCTTGGTGGATGGAATAGGAAAGTAACTGGAGGAAAATTAGTGGATGCAGCATCACCATACTTTATCCCGATTATTTGGATCCGATTCATCATTTATGAGATTTCGTTCACCATTTGTCCATAGGAGTTGAATGCGTTAAACAGTCGCGGAACCAGAAATTTTACAAAGAAGGGGCATGATTTCTAAGCAATTATTATCTAATTTACTATCTTCTTCCTCCGACATCTCTTTATCCATTAGAACTACGTGGGCAGTAAGCTTACACATTTTAGGGTGAAGTACTCCTTGAAGTTCTCTTCTAGGAAGGCAGATCGTTCCTCATCCGGTGATCACGCTTGAGGAGAGGCAGTGATGGAGGTTCAATGATTGCTGAGGAGAATGGCAACATGAGGAAGAACAAAAGAAAGATTTTCAATCACCAAATTTCCAAGCAATTAATATCTTATTTACTATCTTCCTAGAGAATCAGTACATGTCCATCATGAATAAATGAACTCATTTATTTTTTGGTAAATTCATGACAAAAGTCAAGACTAACATCTTCCCAAGTGTTGTTAATGGGTTGTAAATTGTCTCGTGTTTTGAGCAGCCCTTTTGTAACTTTAGCAAATATGACACTTTTAGACATTATCTTACATCACATTAGCTTCTGCCAAAAGAAACAGACTTGTAATAGTACCATTGTTGTGTAAACAGACTTGAATCCTTGTAATAGTAACCAACAAGACTATTTGAATCGTTGTGTGCGATGCATTATGATGTTTGAGTTTTCAGCATGTTATTCCTTCAAGGATTCAAGTCCAATGGTGGCAAATTCAATAGAAGCAAAGGGACTTGTTCGTTGACTTAAAGTTTCTGCAATGCAGTTGCATTGTCCTGCTTTAAGTTTTGGGGCAAAGTTGAATTTTGCAAGAACATGACCCATCTAACATGCATGCAATCATATTTTTTTTGGTAAATATAAAAATTGTGGTGCAAATTGAAAATATGGAATTTTTGATGTGAAAGATAGCGTTCCCATTATTTTACTGCTCTCACTATAGAGTGTATTAGAAACGGTGGAGCCTGGTCCACTATGCTTGAACGGTTATTTTGTTTTGGAGAGTCACACCTCTTCACAAATAACCACTCCCGCCTTTCTCTTTTGTGAAGTGAAACATCTCTTCGCTCCCTCCTGTTCGTGATAAAAGCTTCGGATGACACTCCTTGGGTTTTGTAGTCACGCTTTGAGTTCTTCTTCAGTTTTCTTGGGATAGAGGAAGGTTTCCTCGGGGCAGAGGAAGAGAAGTGCAAGGATGAGCATTTCCTTGCAGCAGAAGGAAGAAGAAGGAAGAAGAAGGAAGAAGAAGGAAGAAGAAGGAAGAAGAAGGAAGAAGAAGGAAGAAGAAGGAAGAAGAAGGAAGAAGAAGGAAGAAGAAGGAAGAAGAAGGAAGAAGAAGAATATTGTTCTCCCTAGGCTTCGTCTTGGTGGCTTGTGGGAGAAGAGAAATTGAGTTTATTTCTCTTGTAAGTTTGTCTTCTTCGGTGTATCTCCATGGAGGGTTTTTCCGGTCTTCGGTGTATCTCGGTGTAGAGAGAGAAGAACAGAGAGAGAAGAAGAGAAAGCAACGAAGTGAGAGATTCCTCTTGTAAGTTCCTTAAGTAGTAAAATCCTCTGCAACTCCGTGGACATAGGCAATTTGCCGAACCACATAAATCTATGTGTTCCGCTGTGGTGGTGTTACCTTTTTTCTTGTGTGAATTTTTCTCGTTCTATTTTTTCGCTTCGTCGATCGTTCTCTTGTTTGATTTATATATATCATATCATCTGGTGTATTTATAGATCTCACAATAACAATAACTGGTATTAGAGCGTGGTTTCGGATCTGAGGAAGACTGATGACTGCAGATGAAGTGAATGTTTCTGGGACCAAAAAATTTGATGGCACAGATTTTGGTTATTGAAGAATGCAAATAGATGATAATCTTTATGGGAAGAAACTCCATCTTCCGTTATTAGGGAAATGACCTGAAAGGATGGATGAAGCTGAATGTGATTTGGTGGATCGACAAGTTCTGGAGGTTATTCGATTGACCTTATCGAGATCCATTGCACATATAGTTGTCAAGAAAAGGATGACTGCAGATCTCATGGCAGCCTTATCAGGTATGTATGAAAAACCATCGACGAATAACAAGGTGTACTTGATGAAGAAGTTATTCAATTTGAAGATGACGGAATGTGTTTCTGTTGCTTAACACCTGAATGTTTTTAATATTATCACAAATCAATTGTCGTCTGTGAAAATTGATTTTGATGATGAGATATGTGCACTGATCTTATTGGCTTTATTGTCAGATAGCCGAGAAGCCATGAAGACAGCAGTTAACAGTTATGCAGGTAAATCTAAACTGAAATACGATAATATTCGTGATTTGACTTTGGTTGAGGAAGTTCGCAGGAAAGATTCTGGCGATATCTCGGGTTTAAGTTCGACATTGAATGTTGATTTCAGTGGGAGATGACAGAACATAAACAAACTTCAGTTGGTCTTCTGCAGTGAAGACAGAGGCTTTGAGTTGCAGAGACGGAGGATACATGTTGAAGAAAAATGTGACATCGCTAGTGAAGGATATCAGTTTGAGGAAGGAGATGTTGCAGCCTGTGTACCGGTCTCAAAGTGGGAGAATTGTTAGAAACGGTGGAGCCCGGTTCACTATGCTTGGGCGGTTACTTTACTTTGGAGAGTTACACCTCTTCACAAATAACCACTCCCGCCTTCCTCTTTTGTGAAGTGAAACATCTCTTCGCTCCCTCCTGTTCGTGATAAAAGCTTCGGACGACTCTCCTTGGGTTTTCTAGTCACGCTTTGAGTTCTTCGGTCTTCTTGGGGCAGAGGAAGAGAAGTGCAAGGAGGAGCAGTTCCTTGCCGCAGAAGGAAGAAGAAGATTGTTCTCCCTAGGCTTCTTCTTGGTGGCTTGTGTCTGGCTTCTTCTTGGTGGCTTGTGGCAGAAGAGAAATTGAATTTATTTCTCTTGTAAGTTTGTCTTATTCGGGATATCTCGGTGTAAAGTTTTTTCGGTGTATCTCGGTTTAGAGAGAGAATAACAGAGAGAGAAGAAGAGAGAGAGCAACGAAGTGAGAGATTCCTTTTGTAAGTCGAGGTGATCAACTGATGTAAATTCTTAAAATAGTAAAATCTTCTGCAACTCCGTGGACGTAGACAATTTGCCGAACAACATAAATCTGTGTTCCACTGTGGTATTTCTGTTTTATGGTGTGAATTTTTCTCGTTTTATTTTTTCGTTTCGTCGATCGTTCTTCTGTTTGATTTATATATATACCACATCAACTGGTATATTTATAGATTTCACAACAACAACAGAATGCTCATCCTATAGTATATAATTCCTGGTCATATATTGACCATTATTACTTTGTTGCATTTCTCATAAAAAAATTCTATCGGTTTACCTTCATAGGAGAGCACTGCACCAATGCCTATAGCAGATGCATTAGCTTCAATTTGGAAAGATATCTCTAAGTTTGTTATTACGAAAATTTGTATAGAGCATGATTGCTCTTTTATAGATTTAAAATCATGTTATTGTTTAGCGCCCCCATAGAAAGATTTTTGCTTCACACAGGCTGTAATGGGAGCCATGATCATAAGCAAGACTTAAATATATTGCTTATTAAAATTTGCGAGTCCATGAATGGTTAGCCTTGATGGGATTGTCGAGACTTTTTCGGATCTACTTGGATTTGTTGTGTGCTAATGATGAAGCCTGGGAGGTGAGTTTTGTTACTGGTAAATTCACATTTGGGGAGATTATTGTATAATTTTTATTTTGAAAAAGTGGTGAATATCATCACATGGTGTTGAAGATTGGATGCCGTACAAGTGCTGAAGATCAAGATATCATTAACATAAGCAACATATAATTTTCCAATGAAGCATTTTAACATCTCATTCATGTATCTTATGAAGTACTTAATCTGTTACATAGGCCAAATGCCATTATTGTCTGTCTACCATACAATCCTTATCTAGTCTCAAAGGAGGTTTTCCATTCGTCTCTCGCACGTATATAGATTTGGTATTAATTGTTTCTTAAATGTAATTTGGAGAAGCTAATGGTCTATAGATCTCCAATCTTATCATTGGGAGATGACACTTTAAATTAATTTTGTTTCTTGCTATGTTGTCTACTAAAATTTGTTATTTGCTATCCATTTTTGGACTAATATTGCGGGCACCACACAAGTACTAAAAGTACAGCAAATTAATTATTTCTTTGGGAGATCATCGCATATTTTTTTGTAAAATTATTTATAAATTTTTATATTTCTTGAGGCTCATATTGCAATGTGGTAAGGAAATTTGAAGGAAGTTACTCCGATGTTGAGTAGATCTCATTATTGTTAGTTGTTCATATAGGTCGTGAGGTGTGATTCCTCTAAATTGTTGTAACAAGTTATGAATCATAACTGGAGTCTTTGCTTCCATGCAGTGCTGTTCAGTCTTAAGTAATTAAGAGTGCATCATGTCGTGATTGTTTTAATCAGGCGATTAGTCTCTGAAGTGGCAATAAAAGGTATTTATTCATGGAGTTTTGGAGAGCTGTATTTTCGCCTTGCGCACAAAATTCCCTGCCGTAAAAAGGGACCAAAACGAACTCCTTTTTAATTTGTTTAAAATGGACTCCATATCTACCATGTTTCTTGTGACTGGTTGTTGTTCTATTTTGTTCAGATTTTATTCAAGCATTGAGACGATAAAAGGTTTCCATCTAAGCACTCACCGGTTTATGTCTTTGAAAGCTAAGTTGATATTTAGAGATAGAGCATTTGTTCATAATCCGAAGGTAGAAAATATATCTACAGCGGTTGATTCCATGAGGTTGCGTTAGATCTAATTCAAATCCATTGCGTTAGATCTAATTCACACATAATTTTTAAGATGTTAAATGCTAAGAAAAATGTAAAGAAGATCAAAGAAAATTTACAAAATTCATTTGAATCGGTGCAATTATGTCAAGAATAAAAGTATTAAAACTGATGCATGTCAAATCTAAGAAGGTTGGATTAACTGTCTTATCAAAGGCATATTAAAATTAGTATCAGTTGATTATCAGATGGTAAAGGATAGAATAAATTAATAAGTTGTATCATGTAAAACGTAGTGTAAATTATACATTAATAAGGTGAACGGATAAGCTAAATACTGGAAGGATTAAGAAATAAAAATGTAAATCCTATATAACATAGTCAGACAACATGCCGAATGAATTATGCAAAAAGGCATTTATATCTTAAATAGCTCTTACTAGGAATGAATGCAGAAATAGAGTTCATGATAGCAACCTAAATAATTATGATAAAATTATTTATGGTGAATAATCCAATATCACAACTTTTGTGCAGATACTCCAAAAAAGAATTGTCTATAAAATAATTTGCTGATCACAGTCACATAAGTTAGCCTTCTTTTTTTGATAAATTTCTGGTTAGATTTACCAAAGTTTTCCAAAAAGGAAAAAAAAAAGAACAATTTTACCTTTTATCCTTCAAAGTTTTTACACTATTCCTTTCTTGTGGACCAGAGGAAGCTGGAGGAGAAGAGAGCGAAGGCATTAGAGAAAATGCAGAATGAGGTGGCTATTGCACGGCAGAAGGCAGAAGAAAGGAGAGCAGAATCAGAAGCTAAGAGGGAAGAGAGGCTTGGAAAGGTGATTGAGATTGCGAGGGTGATGAAAATTTTCGGGAGGGATCCTTCGAAGCGATCCTTTTTCAAGCCATAGGTGACACATCCTACTTGTTTTAAAGTTTTATTGTATTATTTTATGTTAGTTGGATAACAAGCATGAAATGCTTGTATAATTGTAATTAATTTGCTTTTGTTTTGAATCGTATGATCTTTGGGAACATTTTGTTGAATAAATTTTTATTACTGTTTAGAATATATAATTTTTTCCAAGAGCATTCAAGCTTTCTCTGTACATCTCTTACTATCAAGACTTGCTTGAATGGATAATGCTCATCTAGCACTATGTTTAGATTTCATCTATCCAATAATGCTCAAATTTTATTTAACCAAGTTAGGAGCATAGCCACAAGATTCAGATTATATGCCCTGATTTAGTTGTAGCTTTTGACCTCTTGTACCACATTCACAATGTCATATTCGAAACGATCATCCGCACCAATTCTTTCATCTCAATAGCATCATCCTTAATCTTTCACAAACGAAGAATAAAGACCATCTCAATTTGATTATTCGGCAGGCATCAAAAGATTGTGCTTCTTATTCTCTTGCTTGCAATGAAGTCGAATGAGTTCTGCCCCTGCAAACACATACTTTTGCCTTCTCTGGTGAACTAACATCGTCATTATTATGCCACTTTCGGCACGATTGTAATCAACTCTTAGCAATCAATTCATTTGTTATTTGCATTGTCTTTGTGTACCAGTCATTTTATTATTGAATCTTCTCTAATTGAAGAAATAAACTCAAGGTTAGATCACAAGTTAGAGCATTATCAAGTAAAAAAATGGTTAGGAGATTGTATATCTAAAGAATAAAAACACTCTTTTGAAGATGAAGATACTCTTTGTTCTGAAATCCCATAACTTGTTTGTTAGAATCTAAAATGAGAGAAAAGTAAAGTAAATCAAGCTCAAATTCTATCCACATATAAGGTTTTATACATATATGTGTCATTCCATATTAGACAACTAGCATAACTTAGATGTTGAGTTGTTTGACTCAATTAAGAAACAATTTTGTTTCCCAAAAGAAATCTCTTGGCATAGAAAAGCTCCACACTATAAGTTTAGAGCTTTCATGATAACCTTCTCATTATTCTCTTGGTGAGGTAAGATCATTTATTAGCCTTTTGTTTAATGCTCCTTAGAGTTCCCTTTGCATCTTTTCTAAATTCCCTCTCATGAAAAATTATGAGAAATCATGAAAGAACCTTTACCAACCATGGAACATCATATGCATGACAAATCATGAATATGAATCGTGTCAAAAGCTCGTTCAAATGTATGATGTAAAGATTTATATTGACTCATACCATTTTAATGATAATTTATATATACGACAATTGATTGAATTTTTGACATATATATAATCGGTGTTGACCTTTTGAACGATAAAAGTGTTGCTAATTCTCCCCACCGATCTGCATTATGTTTACTTGGATGATTGTTTGACAAATTGATTGAGCTAATTAGTTTTTGATGCACCCTCTAAAAGTTGAACTGATCAAAGTTCAAGAAAAGGTAGAACCAAGCCAAAACTAGAATTTAGTTTGATGTTGATAAACAAAATCAGTATATCACAATTTAAATTGAGAGTCAAGCACAACTAAAAAATAGTTATTTAAATTCATTTTTACAATGATTTCTCAATATGTATGAAATTTTGATTTTACCTTATTAACCATATTCCTGACATCATAGTCCTAAATCAATTTCCAAGCCTGAAAATGCATAAGAGCACTACTATTTCATAAAAGAATACATTTGAAGTAACATATAATGATCTAAAAATATGTAAAGTTGAAATCTATTAGTGCCTTCATATATCTCACAACTGCCCTACATGATGAACAAAATACCAAACCTCTTTAACACCATCTTATATGATTTAGTTTATGGTAAGAGCAATAAATCATTTATGTAAAAACTTACCATCAAGAACACTTCCTCTTTTATAAAAAAAGAATATAATTTTGTTGTTCAATTTCCAATACTCATTAATATAATGCCCAATGAGATATGTATAGTTAATTATTTGAATGAGCGTCCATATATCAAAGGTTAAACAAACCTCTCTATTTGAATTTTTGAAATCTTGTTTCAAGATGGTCATGTCATCCAACTAGATTCTATAACAATCGTGCATGAGAGTGCATCAAGGAAAAAAAGTGAAATATTGGACTACATTACAATATGAAGTACTTATACTTCTAGCCCTTAATGTGTTTGAAGGGTAATTCATCTACAATAACTTTTGTAACTAAAGCTTTTCCAACATTTGCTTGGAGAAATGTTATGCCTTAAGGCTTCTACCACTTTCCTCTACTTTTTCACTGGATTGCTTCATCAATTGAGGTTGATTTGATTCAATATTCTGGGATTTCCTTTGATAACTAGAAAGACATGTCTATAAATATTAATTTCATTAAATTAGAATCTTTTTTATACGATCATTATATTTACTAATTTTTTCTCGACTACTAATTCTATACTCTAGTAGAATGATCATATAGTTTTGAAATTGGCCTAAATCTTTATCTTTTTCTCCTCTAAGACTGAGAGCTTGCTACTTACACTGTAAGCGCCTTGTAAAATTGGTTTGTTGTGTAGAGATATAAAGTCATGAAGAACTAGCTCTAGCTACACTACTACCTTATCATGACATGAAAATAGAATTAATATGTTAGCTAATAAAGAATGTGCTTGTTTTTAGTGTTCATTAACTTAAAAAAAAGCAAATGATTATGAGAAAAAAATTGATGGAACTCTTTGCTTATGAAAGGAGTGTTATTTGCCAACTCATAAGTACAAATAAGATAATTCTTAAGATTACTAAAATCCATATATAAATAGAAGAAGTACTAATCTTTATATATTGAAAAATATCATTTGATTACATAAACATCTTATTTATGATGACATGTTAACTAAGACAATAAATACATGTCTTCTTAATACTTATAGTTATGCTCATTTAATTGCTTTTGTCATTTATTTACATTCTAAAGCAACTTAAAAATATTTATGATGCAAGTACTAAATCTAAAAGCATAAGCCCTTAAAGAAAACAAAATTTGAGTGAAAGTTAACCAATATATTGGTTGCAATTCAAATTGACTCAACTTTGTCATTGGCAACCTCTCATCATCTAATTACCTCAGAAATCATAATAAGAGCTTAGAAAGATCTTATTGGCTAATTATGTAACTAATTACTCATCTTTAGTCAAAATTTGAATATTTCTTGCTAAAAAAATTATCTCAAAATTTTATATTGTATCTCAAGATTCTTATCGGATGATAAAAAAATTAATGATTTATCATAAATTATATATATATATATATATAGTGACATTTAGGGCTGTCAAAACGACTCGTTGTTCGCGAACAACTCTTGTTCGACTCGTTCGCCAAGTTAACGAACCAAACACAAACAATATTTATTCGTTCATGTTTGACTCATTTTGGCTCCAAATACTACTAATCAATTATATATATATATATATATATATATATATATATATATATAATGTGAAATATTTTAAAAAAAATTAATTGACCACAAGACTACAAAATTTTATAATCAATTAAAAGTATTAATGAAGAAAATAAAATATAAATTATTAATTTAGATTCAAATGATGTTTTAAATCTTGACCCAATCTTTAATATCTTGTGACTACGTGATTAGGGTTGTCAAAATGACTCTTTGTTCGTGAACGGCTCATGTTCGGCTCGCTAAATAAAGGAGACGATCATGAACACACTTTTTGAACTCGATATATAAACAAGCAGAAGAGGAACTCGTTGACACCCCTTGTGACATTCAATTAATTCCCACTTCATTTTTTTTCTTTTTAATTTTACCACAATTAGCACGCAACTATTTTTCTCAGTCCATCTCCTTCCATCCCGCGGTCTGAGGAACCTTCTTTGCGGCTTCGATTCTGAGCTCACGCTGCCGGCAAGCAAAAGCCCAGAAAATCCCCATCGGCGAGATGACAAAATCGGTGACGGAGAAAAAGAGGGTCCGGCGGGCGCCGTCGAACAGCGCTAGAGATCTCTCGGATAGCGAGTATAAGGTTCTTGTTCTCCTTTCTTTTCGTCAGAATTTCAATGTATTATACTAATTGATTCTTCTGTCGGAGTAAGGAGCGGATCGGATCTGTGGGGATGGATGCGTAGGGGAAATGGAATGAGATCTGGTTGTATTCGTCTTTCTTTTACGGTTTTGGGATGGGATTGATTTGGTATTAGTGATTAATAGTTTGAATTGGTGATTAATTCGGTCAGGGCGTGTTTCTTGTTGTGGAGTTTTTTTCGTATAGATAGGAGGATCTATCGGTTGTAGGGTATGTTCTGATTATCGGTTGAGAGCTTGTAGCATTGATTAGTTTCTATGAAGGGTTTCTAGCCTTTATTAGTTTATAAGAGAGGTATTTTCTCTCCTTGGAGGGGTTTCACGTCAGGGGGATTTGTGCTTCTTGTTGAGGTTTTTGCCTGATTGGGTTTCCTTGGGCATGAAATCTTTCAACCCGGAGCATTTTGATACGATTCATTGCAATTTTCCCGGAAAATTAGGGCAAACACAATTTTTCTTCAACAATCTAAACAACTTGACAGCCAACAAGAATAAAAAGATAAACACATATAATTCCAGAGTTAGGCGATCTCTCCGAATTCCTATAATTCAAGAGCTAGGAAATCTCTTTGAAATCATAAACCTAAGACTCACAACTCAATCTCATGCATAACTCTAACCCTAGATATAACAAGTCTATTGGTACTTAATAGTAATACCAATAAAAGACTAAATTGCTCTTAGGCATACAAAAGAAAAATTTGCCCCTAGGCTAGGTGCCAATGTAGCAATACTCCCCCAAAAGACACATTGTCCTTAAGATGAGAAAAAAGAGAGTGTTCTTACTCCTCCATCATAGTTGTCTTTTTCTTCATTCTCTGCCCCTTCATCATGAACTTTGAAAACTTGTATTTTTTTATCCTTGCAACGGTGTCCTGGGATAAACTTCTCATCATACCGTAAACATAACCTTTTGGCTCACTTTTCCAGAATCTCTGTCTCTGTAAGGTGCTTGAGTATCTCGATCATGATTCATTATTTGTGTCCCCTATAGCCTCCCTTTGGACTTCCACTGTTTGGACTTTTGGTTCCGTCATGGTTGTAGTACTTCTGCGTTTTAGTGTTGCTCCTGCTGACTTTCTTCATCTGAGCTAGCTCGATCGCACCTTCAATCCCTGTAGTCTCAATAGTCAGAGTGATGCTCATATGTTAGTTAGGCTTTAGCTCCTTCATGAAATTTTCGTCCAATCCCGCTTTAGGTGTTCCTCTCAATTGTCCTGACAATAGCTCAAATATCTTCATGTAATTCATGACAGTTTCCTCTTGAGTTAAAACATAGTATTGCTCGTGTAGGTCTCCTTCCTGAATTGCTCGAAAACGTTTCAACAAACAATCATTGAATTTGTCCCATGATTGAATCTGGTATCTAGCATCCCTCTACTGAAACTAGGCTATATCTTTCTCTTCCAAACATAACCATACCAACATGAGTATCTCCTGCCTATCTAGTTCATTTTCCTCAAAGTTTCGCTCCTCGATACATCCACCCATGTGCATCTTCCCCTTCAAAAATTGACATCTTTAACTTCTTAACTCTAACATCGCTACCCCAACTTTCTCTTATTTCTCTATTTCCCCAATATATTGAGGATAAAACTCCCTTCTTCGATTATAGCCATATCCCCTCCCTACTTATCTCCTTTATTCTTCGTGCTCCCCATATCTCTTGCATGATCTTCTTTCCATGTTTCAGCCCAAGCGCCTTCATTAGGAATCTCTAATCCACTCCCAATCTGAGCCTTGGGAGCGTTTCGTGATAGTATATATTTTTCTATTCATGTTCTTCATGTCCATTCTTTTTTCCTTTAGAATTTGCAAATTGAACCACTGGCTGGATATTGGATTGCATCTCAACGAGTCTCTTTATTTTTTCTAGCATTTCTCCCATCCTCTTAAATCAACCCGTCATTCGGTTCTCCATGAAAGAAAATCTATCTTCTATAGCGGCGAACATTTTTTCCATTCCTGATTTGATTTGACTGATCTCTTCCTCTAAATTCTTCTATAAATTATCTACGTAATTTTTTTCGCTCATGAAGAAAATTTTTATATGCTGAATCGAGCGACTATTTCACAAGTCAGTGATCAAGGATCGCTTCAATCCGGTTGTGGCTTCCCAAATAGCTCCAATCGAAACCGTTTGGTATTTGCGGTCCTGTCTTCCCAACTAGTTTGGAATCATGATTGCCGCATGAGGGAAAAGCTTGGACAGGAGAAAGATGGGAGTTACAAAACAAGAACAAGAGAAATTCAGGAGTTTCACGTCTCTATATGTCGCTTCCTAGTTGCTACTTTTCCATGTAGCTTTGATCGCGACTCCATCGGGTAAATGACGTGGGAGGAAGAGAAAAAATGGGAGTTTTGGGTCTTTGTATGCCACGGTTTTGTAGTTACTTCACAGCTAGATTGGTCGCAGCTGGATCTCAAGGACGGAGTAAGAGGAGAAAAGTCGCGGCTCGTCACTGTAAGCCCTGATCACATAGCCTTAGCCCTAATAACGACCGCTTCTAGAGAGTACAAAGCGGAAGGAGGTGGGTTTCGGGTCTAATTATGCCGCAATTCTTCCCCACGCAGCGAACCTTCTCGATAAAACCACAACTGTCTAGCTCTACTTTGTTGCCTTCTCCAGGAAGCCGCGAGTCTGTCATTGCCTTCTTCTGTAAGCTACCTGCCCTCCGTTGCCCGTTGCTTTCTAGTTCATGTGATTCGCAACTACAGATCCCATCGATGTCTTCCCAGAACACCGCGAGCCCAAGTGTTTTTTCCCAACTACTTCCAATCACGAGTCCATCGTAAGTTTCAATCACGGCGGCGGCGTGATCCAGTGGGGGGGGGCAGATGTTTGTATCAGAAAGTTCGATCTCCATGATTTTAAAGATTCCATATTTCAGATTTTAGCAGGATTGACGAGGCTTTGGTAGCAATTTGATATGATTCATTGTGATTTTCTCGAGAAATTAGGGCAAGCACAATTTTTTTCGACAATCCTAACAACTCAACAAGAATATAAAGATAAAACACGTATAATTCAAGAGGTAGGCTATCTCTTCAAATTCCTACAATTTGAGAGGTAGGAAATCTCTCCCAAAATCTAAGACTCACAACTCAATCTCATGCATAACCTAAATTCTGGACATAACAAGCCTATTTATATCCAACAATAATAATAATGATAAAAGACTAAATTGCCTTTAGGCGTACGAAAGATAAATTTGCCCTTAGGCTAGGTGCCAATACAACACACATTAAGCTGAAATTTTCATGAATATTTTCTTATGTATCGTGATGTCTGATGACGTGCTCGGCACCATCCACAATCTGGAGTATTGCTTCATTGTATTTGGTTGCTTTACTGGGCACTGTTTATTGAATCAGATATTTCACTTTGTGGATAGAATTTAAATATGCATGCAAAGTGAGAACAAAGGAAAGAAGAACTGTGGTTGGAGAATGTTTTGATTTAGTTTGTAAGCAGTTTTTTAGAATTTAGAAATATTTTCAGGTGTTTGAAATCTCACTTGTAAAATTCATGAATAAGTTAAAATAGACCTTAGTTTTTGGAGGATGGCTAAAAGGAAGTAAAATAATGTTGATTTTTTTTTAAATTTACCGTTTATTTGTATTTTTTCCTTATTTTTTGTTTTCTTTTGTATTTATTCCTTAAAATAGTTAGGGGCACGACATGCAGAAAAATCAAGAGTTGTATTTGGGAAAGATTTGCCAAGAACGATGGGGAAGTTGAAAGGCATTTTGGTTGAAAATTAAAGGAAATATGCAAAATATTATAGCACCTAGCTCTAAAATTAATTTGTTGTAGCGTTGAAATAGAGGTGAGCTATGGACATGCATGTTAGGATAGTGATAAAATTTCAAGCAAAATCAAATGAAGATGAGACAACAAACATATAAAAAATCTCAAACATATTACACGAAATTCCATGGCTCAGTGAGATTCAACTATGTTCATAGCTGCATAAAAATTAAATATTTTATGAAGCTTTAAAAGGAGATATTTGGAGAATTTACACTTCATATGAATAAGGACAAATATATCACTTTATTTGTATTAATGACCGTTGGGGAACACGACTATATGTAATAAAGATGAGGGCTAAACATGGATACTTAGATTTTGGTGTTTTTTCTTCTCTCTTATCTTCTTGGTTGTGAGACTTCATCACGATGTCTTTTTATTTGATTGATCATTAGCAATACCTGTAATGGAGAATAAGCTCAATGCCCATAACAATGATGCTTCTTGTCTAACTCTCTTTAATCCTAGAATCTATCATTAAATCATGAATGTTTGACATTTGCATATCTTCTGCCTTGTAAGGGTAATTTGTCCGTGAAGGTTCCTTTAGCACATTCCTTGAAGATCATATTCACAAGAAAGAGGAATTGTAAGATGAGATCTTTCAGCTGCTGATTAAAAATTGCCAACTAGTGCCCCTTATAGCATAACCATATTGGAGCTTGTTCTTGTGAGATTAATTTTATATGAAGGGCGGGGGTGGGTCGAGGACACTACATTTGTATAGTAACCTCTCATCGCCAGGATATAATTCTACCCTTGCCGATTCGTGATGACCACCACGATACAACCAACTTCATGATGACCACCACGTCACGACCAACTTCACTTCTTTATTTATTCCTTAAAATAGTGAGGGGTAGGAGTTACAACCATGTGGAAAAATCAAGGGTTGTACGTGGGAAATATTTGCCAAGAGTGATGGGGAATTTTGGTTGAAAATCAAAGGAAAGATGCAAAATATTATAGCACCTAGCAATTTGTTGTGGCGTTGAAGTAGAGGTGAGCTATGGACATGCATGTTAGGATAGTGATAAAATTTTGAGCAAAGTCATTTGAAGATGAAATAACTAACAAATAAAAAATTTCGAACATATTACACAAAATTGCATGGCTGAGTAAGATTC